TACGTTACATTGTACGACGGCCGACGAAAGAAAAATTATATAAGAAAAAATACATTAAATAACAAACCTACGATTTTTTATTCATTTTTTTTTTTTTTATCCATATAAATATTGTATATTATTATTATTATTATTATTATTATTATTATCATCATCATCACGATAATAAATACGCGTGTACAATGCGTGTGGTGCGCGAGCGGACGTACCGCGGCTATCTGTTTTTCGTGCGATGACGACGAAAAAAAAAAAAAAAAAAAAAAAACCGAAAAACGAGTGTTATAATATTGTTCTGTTGTCCGGCCGTGGCCGTTGCCGCGCGCTCGTGCACACGTAAGAGGGTATCCTAACCCACACACAAGTATTGTTATGTACTTCACGGACCGACGAACGGTTTTTCAAAGTTTCAGAACATTATTGTACAAGACGTGTTACGTTTATCGAACTGTTCTTGGAAAAATATTGCTTATGGTGACTACACCGAGATTTGAATGATGATTCGATTCGTGCACCAAGACGAATACAATAATTTAATCGAGCACAAAACGCCTAGTAACCAAACACTTTATCGATAAATTATCTATTATTTAATTTTGTAGTTTCAACGGTTAAATTATTTTTAAGTAAAAATTAATTAATTTAACGTGTAAATAGAATTTAATATAAACAAAAAAAAAACTTACTAAATTTAATTATTTTGTAAATTAAAATATTATATTACGATTGATTTAAATGAATGTTGTTCGAGGTCAAGTTTTGGTCTTAAAGTTGAAACCGATTCCAACTTTTTGATTTCATTTGGTCATTTTTTAAATCGATACGAGACGTAAAAATAAAAATAAGATAAATATTTGACACGAAAAAATATATTACATATTATTATAAAAATTATTGTTAATATATTACGTATCGTATGAACACATTATTGTTGACGGTTGTACTTTATTTCATCGGTTACGTATTTATTTTGGTTTCCTACTCGTGAACCGTTATGAAAAGGTCCTGAACAAGGATTTTTTACGATTTCGCGATATCTTCGACATGTTTTCTCGGGAAATCGAAGGCGCATCGAAATAAATTCACGATATCGTTATCGCCGTTGGTTTTCACCGAAGGAGATATTTGGGTTTCGAAAAAATGAGCATATTTGATTTCCTGGATGGAAGGAAAATAACATGTAAAATCCATCACGCATCACGAAAAAAAAATATACATTCCTAAAATGAAGACGTTCGTAAGACGTACAATGGATTCGTTATTGCATCCGTGGGCTCCAGCGGCGAGCCCTTTCCACCACGACTTTTTCTGTAGGCGGTGCGTGACACTATATCACATCTCTACGACGGCATTATAACGAGGCTATTTTTATCGCCATCGAATCAATAGACCCTTCTGCCATGTGGTTATTCGCATTCGTTTGCGAGACGTTTTGTTCGTTCGGCTGTTCCAATACGCGTATCGCTGACGAATCCCTGTTTCCACTCTTGGAGGCGATTAGGAAAAACGTATAGAAGCACTATGATCCTCACATAATTTTAAGCGTTCCGTACACCGTGAACAGAGGGACGGGTCACGGGAATAGAATAAAGCCAAAAATAAATAGACATAATTTGGGTTATTTGACACTTACTATTGTTTTATTGACATTTAATTTTAAACAAATAAATGTTATTTGAATTTTTAAACATTATATCGACCATATTGACTAACATTTTGTTAGTAGCGTGAATAGGGTTGTCATCCGTTCCGATATATCGGGATTGTAACCGTTATTGAGCTCTACGTCCCGACAAATGACCAAAGTGTCCCCATTGAAGCTGTTCATTTTAAATTTCGTACATTTTGTTACCTACGAATATCTGAATATCAGTTCCCTGCGAATGTGTGGCGCAGTACTAAATTGGTTTCGATTGTTGGAAACAACGTTTTATTTCGTTAGTTTCCGTAATTTTTCATATTCTTTATTAATCCATAATATTATGATGGAACAAGAATTGTTTGCCAGGAAATTCCGACGGCTTTTTCTTTTCTTTTTTAATAAAATTACTTTTACCCAATTTTTTACGTTTGGTTAGCGAATACATCGAAATAAGGGTAATCGAATTCATCATCGAAATCTGATTGAGGTTTATTAAATTTTCGGCTATTACATTGCACATGATCTATCCGAACAAATGGTGACACAGAGCTGCATAGTAATATGTGGTCACACAGGTAGGGCAGTTTTTCCTGATCATTCCGTTATCATAATATTTCTTAAACTTATTTATGGAAAATGATCAAAATCAATATCAAAAACTGTTGGCACAGCAGTTTAGACTACATTTATGAATTCTTTGTCTTTTTTTCATAAATATCCATTGTTATCATTTATTTAATAGCGACAGCCAATCGACAATATCAAATCAAACTGGGCCTGAAAGGGTTAATTTGCGGCTAGGTTAGGTTCCAAGTGCGCGTAAGTTGGCGAAAATTTACGGGCAGACTCACGGATCGGCGGTAAACACGTAAAAACATACATGCTGCGCATGTCGGTCGAATAAAATGCGACGAGGCGGTTGATGATAAATCGATCGCCAAATAATCATAAGCACATGGTTTTTAACAACGACCAAGTGACGTTGAAACATTTACAAAACACTGTTGGCGTTCTATTTCTAAGCCGTTGCGTCCGATGAAGATAAACGCGTGATGTTACGTATAATACGTCGTTGGTATACACACACACACACACATGTATTAACATGTTAATATGTTATCCGTCGTTTTCATCGGGAAATTCACGTCGTAGCGTACACCCGGGAGAAATATATCAATAATTATCTTTGGGAACGGTCGCGGCGGCGGTAAATTTCACAGACGATTGACTGCAAACACGTGACCCCGACCACTACGACACATCGTCGACGGATAAAATCTAATACCGCGCGGTTTGCTTATTAACTACCTGCTGCGGTATACGGGTTGTTGTTTATCAGACCCCGCCATGTTAATACAAACGGCTATCTATATATATATATATATATACATATATATATACCAATAGTACTTATGAATCGTATATAAATTTAAATCTGATCGATAAAACGTCCCGAGAAATTGACGAAAAAAATTGTAATAATCGCTTGTCGCGCGGCTCGTTGATTATTTTTAGAACGATAATGTACGTCCGTGATAACGTTGCGAACAATACAAGAATCCGAGGAACTCGAAAAATATGTCATGTACAATACACGGGTGGTGTGTTTTTACGCTCGTCACGATAGTGAGAACTATTTATAGGCTTCGGCACGTGGCGACTCATTAACAATAATAACGTGTTCCAGTTCAATATTTCACCGCGTTGATAACAAGTACTGCGGCGGAGAAGTAAAGCTTCGTTCTGTACGTGTTATCCGACGGATTCTCAAAACGTTTTAATCGGTTTTTCTATATGTTAATCTTAATCTATCCACTGAGATTGCAGTTGATACGCCGAGGAGTACATGGCCTACCGTTGAGACAATATGTTTCCTTCTGGTTCGCTGTTTGGATAGGGTTCGAGAAAATTGTGCGATACGTTTCTGACTTCGTGTTGGACACCAGAACGGACGTGTTCTAACAGTGTCATTTGCATACATTTGAAAACAATAAATTAATTATTCTAAACGAAGGTTACCTATTGAATATTTTATCCTAAAATAATAATTACGATTCTATAATCTATTGATAAAAACTGGTTTTAAGAAATTCGATTTTTCCTTCGTGAATACGTTAAAACCGTACAAACGTATGCACAATAGGTGTACTACGCAATAAAGGGGTTATACATTTACTGGAGTTATGCGAGAAAGGAGCCATTAGGGAATCCGACGATCGAAATCCAATAATCATCGTTATTCCTACGGCAACAATTTAATACTCGTTGAGTAATCCAAGATCCGTCCGCGCAGTAGCGCCCACGTAGGGTACTCAAATGGTGCGATTGTACTGATTTCTCGTGGGTCCCGAGGCCTACATACATTTGGGAACCCATTATGATCTCCGTAGCAAACACTATAAATGTACAACTGTTTATCTGGATCTTTAGATCGTTAAATAAATCGTAAAGTTGGCAATGCCAAATATGCAAACAATTTTTTTTTTTTGTAAAATTTTAAATTCAAACCCTTTTTAAATAAAAATGTCGTACAGGAATTCGCAATATTTTTAAATTTATTCAAGGTTAATTTGAAAATGCATTTGGAAAAATAATTATTTCAATCAAACAAATATGGATGTTGACCAAAATTAATTTGGGGGGGGGGGCTATTATAATTGTTCACGGAAAACCTGCGAGTGCGTCACTGCGATGTGTCGTAAAAACAGTATGATGTAAAATCAATCGCATGAACTCGGAACACCGCGTTTGAACTACCGACGAAAACGAATGATAATTCGCATCCGATAAAACAGGGGTCGTCAACCTTTTCAAACAAGCGAGCTACATTTGACATTTAAGTCCCAGGCGATCGACATCCAGGAAAAACCTAATCTTCAGGAGGAGATTTAATGAACATAAAAAAAAAAAAAAGAAAGGTTTAAGCTCCGAAGAACAATTATATATATTGTTTTTTCATAATAATCTAATGTGTTGCCGTTATTTTACGCGGCGATCGACCGGTAGTGGTAATATTAAATTTTACAACGATCTATATATTCCTTGGAAAATACCGACTGGTTGTCGGATAAAGTGTGAGCCGCCGTGAAAGTAGTGCGACGAAAGGACGAAAGACTCGCGGCCGACGTGACGATTTTCCCGTTGCCGTCGAGATTTCGGGGAGGTCTCGCGCGTTGGTCGTCATCGGAGTCGGTGGAGGCGGCGGCGGCGGCGGCGGCGGCGACGACGGCGTCGTGTCGGTTCGTGCGCGGTCGGCTGCCGGTCGTCGTCGGCGGCGGTGGCGGTGGCGGCGGCGGTGGCGGTGCGCGTGTGTGCGCGGTGGCCGTCACCGCGGCGCGGAGCGCCGGACGTCACGAGTGTGCCAGGTATAGGTCGGCGACGTGATCGCGGAGCTCTCCGGCCAGCCAGTGGCGGTCCGGACGTTCGTCGTGTGTCATCTTCGCGAGTGTACGCGTCCCGCGCAACGATCACGTGTCTCACGATCGAGTTTTGCGCCGCACATATCACGCGCGCGCCCGAGTTTTTTTTTATTCGCTCCGTTTTTTTTTTTTTTTCTTCTCTTTTTATTGTTTCTATTATTATTATTATTTTCTCGATACATTTTTGCTCGAACACGCGCACGCCGCCGTCAATACGTTCTCGTTCGTACGCAGACGCTCACGCTCGCACCGCATAACATTCGTACAAGTTTCGTACGTTATCTTGTTTTTAAAACGTATAAATCCGATTTGTGTGCGGTCTCTCGGTTTTTTTTTTTTTTTTTTTTTTTTTTTTTTTACTTCTTCTCTCGTACACGTATACGTCATAACATCATGTTCGTGTGTTTTTTTTAAATAAAATATACATCGTATTTTTTTTTCCTCTCGCCGCCGCGATGTACCGCGGCGATCGTCGTGAAGGTTCGCTCTCGTCGTTGCGCTCGCGGAAATCGCACGTTTTTCACTGCAACAACCGCCGTCTGGACTCGTGCCTTCAATAAATACAAACGGGAAGAGAACAACACGGTTTTCAACAGGTTAGAATCGTTTTCATTATCATCATCCACATTTACCTCCACCGCCACCGCCACCACAACCGTGTGTGGTACACGTTATCGCTCCGACGTAGGTCGTTTCCGTCGTGAAAACATTAAGTGCCTAGATCGGCAGTACGTACACTAAATCTCGATATTATCAATAATATTAATATTATTTACGCCGTACTTGTCCGTGTGTACGTCTTTTACGTTCGACCACGACGGTATTGATAGTTACTTCATTTATTTCTTGAAAATACATTCCGACGGTGTCTCGGATACGTTGTGTGGATATTTTATCATGTTCGGATACACGTCTTTGAATAAAAAAAAAAAAAAAAAAATTAAGCTTGATATTACGGTTAAGACGTTTTTCGCTTCTCCAGACACTTTAATAACACGTTGATTTTTCGAAAACCATACTATCCGACGTATGTAATTATTGGACTAAAACAGTAGTGTGGTGCGTCCGAGTGTGGGTCGTGTCCGTCGTGTGCACGGGCTTCAATTAAATTTCGATCTACAACTAATAAACAAATCGAGTTCGAATGAAAACCGGTGATTATTGTAATAGGAAACCCATTAGTGACCGATGGATTCCTTTTCGAGAGACCGTTTTTATGGTAATACTAGGCCGTATTACGTGTGCTCCAAGTGTAATCGAAATCCGTCGGGCAGTCGTTTACTATGTGCGCACATTAAAGTGTCGTCGATTGTATAATCGCGTTTTAATTATAGGGCGTTCGGATTTACTTAGGTAAACCGATGACTGCAATTGGAAAGAAACATTTATTTATTTGTGCGGCGGTACATCCGGTTAAAAATGCGTAACAGCAGAAATAATAAACTTCAGGGCGGAGGGGAGAGGACACCCGCGTACAACGCGAATTTCGCCCGGCCGATGAAATTCTATTCCGGACATAGATTTCACAAGCCTTACGTTAATAATAATAACAACCGTGAACACGATTCATTTTACCCTGGATTATTTGTTGAAAAAGAAAATCATATTTCATTATGATAATTAAAATGTAGGTATTCAACTACGAGGTAGTCGGTCTCATTGTTTATACAACTGTTACCTGTTACATATATTTATAAAATAAAAACCGATGTTAAGGTTTTTCTTCGGTGCAGAAACTAGAAATATCGATACTTATGAATAAATCGTGTACTTAGCTATTATATGATGTTTATTAAACGAATCGTTAACGGCCGACCATCGAGTTTAATAGCACCGGGCACTATTTTACGATCAACATATTTATTATTTTTTAATTTTTATTATTCATAAGAGAATGTTTATTTTATAATTTTTTTTATCTGTGCCTCCGGGGAAAAATGAAACTGAAGAATGACAATTTTTTTTTCTCCGTAAAATATACATAGGTACCGATATGTGGCCCCGTATTATGTATAGGTATTATACGTGTTGACTTGGGATATTTGTGGGTCTTGTGTTAATTAAAATATTTGACCCGAGCCTCCCGGATGTTAATTTTGAAAAATATTGTTTAATAATGCATATATGCAAAGGCCGAATATTTAAATATCGTTTACATAGAATATGGGGGAGGTGGACATGCATGCGCCAGACGGGTTCAAATTGGGTTCAAATATTGGATATTTTTCAAGGATAAATAATTAATGATTGCCAAGGATGTACCGATGACCTTTGAACAGATTTGGTGGGTGAAGTAAAAAAAAAAAAAGGTACATCCTGCCATTGTGTAGTGCAAAACTGTATGCGTGTCTATTGTCGAAAAAATACATAATTTTTAAATATTGTTTACCGAACGATTGGTTTTTTTTTTTTTTTTGTTCTTGCGTTTTTATAAATTTCAATAGTGACATTTCCGTTAAGAAGTTATACAGGTTAATTAAAAAAAAAAAAAAACTTCTTCACACTCTGGATAAATTTCATGTCAATAAGCGATAACTTACCACCATGATAGTAGAACAACATGTTTTAGGGCTCGAGTGTCAACAATAACACAGTTGTGTCATTACCAGAAATATCAATTAAACTAAACAATATTGAAAAATATTTATTATTGTTCTTGTTCATAATACACCTTGAAAATAATTTGACACTTTGGTTTCGTGTTTAAGTTTCAAAACTTATTTATAAATATCATGTATACTACGTGCGCGTAGGTTTTAAATTGTTTTGACGTATTAAAGAAAAATAATTTGTGAGTTTTGTTGTAATGAATGTAGGTCATGTACTAAAGTAAACAATCGTAATTTTTCTTCTTGTAAATGGCTATAACGCGCCTTTAGATTGTTAAAAAATATATTCCGTGTGCTGACAAACGTCGAAAAATGTGTAGTTAAATCGAACTTTTTGAAAGTTATTAATTAATGTGTGAAAAAATAACGGAAATCCCTGCCTGAGAGAGACCTGACACATTTGACTTCGTGGTATTCTTTTGCACGCTTTAATTATATATTTATAATAATATTTTATATTTTATATAATAATCATTTCCAATAATTTGCATAAAATTATTTTTTTTTCGAATCCGTTGTGTAAACATATTTTTGAACCTACAGCAAATATAGTAACAACTGATGTGCTCGAAGTCTGCGTATGACGCAGAAAAATGCGGTGGTGAACTTATTTTTTAAAAATACTCTCAGCCGTTCATGGATCGTTTCGACGACAACTCAAAAGATCATATCGATGACGTAGCGCACAAGTGTGATGAGTGACTTCTTCGTAATTGTTCAAGAGAAAAATTTTTTTAGTGTGAGCTGTTATAACAATTCAAAAATGTAACGAGCTATAAAGAACTTTTTGTTAGATTTTCCTTAACATGTAATGAGTAACGAGGATTAAAAAACCTGAAATTACCACATTTTTATTTTTAAAAAAAAATTATATACTCAACGCATTTTGTACTCGTAAAAAAGTAATATTTAAACACATCGCATTTTTCTTCTAATTTCAATAAAGAACGACAGTTACTTGAATAACGTTATAATTTCGTTTGCGCGTAACGCGCAAAATTTTATGATTAAATCGAATATGCACTTAGCTAATTTTTCAAAAAAAATGTCACTTATCGCACTTGTGCGCTACGCCATCGATACATTGTTCCCCGTACATTGTGTTTGCCAAATAAACTTCGGTTCGTGCGTAGGTAATAATAACATGAATTTTACCGCCGGTACGAAACACGACGAGAAAAATCTATGGGGTTACGTGTACACCTCCGTGTACTACGTACGTTTGGCGTGGGGATAGAAGAGCGGAAGTACTGGTCTCGTCCGACGTCACAGCATTAAATCGGTGTTGCTTAATCCGTCTCGCTCGTCCGCGCGCGCAGAGGAGGTTACGGTCCGGCGTGTTTTTGGTACGTGCGCGAGTGGGTCGGCGTGTCCGGGGACGCGAGCGACCAATAGTGTAGCACGTGCGTTTTTTTCTTCTTCTTCTACTTGCACACCACCGCGTGCGATAACTATTACAATATGTGTACGACGGCGTTATTGCGTGTTCACAATGCGCGCGCCGTCGTCGACGAAGGGCGTACTGAGCGTTCGGTCCACGCGAAAAGGGGTAAAACTCGCCGTCCGATCACGAGGGACACGAAGACGACGGTAATAACAATACGCGTATGTACGCCTACGGTACAGTTGACGTGTATCGCGGAGTTCGCGATTGCCCAACGCGCGCGCGGGGGTAACGTTACGAAACCGACGACCACCACCAACTGCAGTCATCTATACACCCTTCGTACGGTCTACGAGTTGCGGTGCACAACCTACCCGATTGCCGGCGCGTTTATTCTTCTTTTCTCCGGCATCGTCTCGTCGCATGGACCGAATCGTTTAACTACTACGGGCTTTGGTGCGAGGTCCGCCGCTCGCGTCCCCCGGAACGTTTCCAGTCCGTGACACGGCGGCGACGACTTTTCGAAGCGCCCGTCCGTCGCCACGTTCGTTGTTGGGCAATAAATTTCGAACTCCGCGTCGGAGTTATCACATGTTCCCGCCGCGTGCACGTCGGCCCGTGAAACGTACGCCACCGCCGGTTATTATGTCGTATTTTGACCAGAGTCCGCGCGAATTGCTCTAGAAAAAAAATCGGCGTAGGAGTCGCGCGAGGGGGGGCCCACGCGCGCTGTCCTCTGTTTAGGCCGCGACCTACGCGCGACACGCTCCCACAATTTACTCCCACTTACGCCCACACAAAATAATAATAAATAAATAATAATAATAATGGTGGTAATATATTAACGCGCCAATTTGAAATCATATTTTGCCCCGTTGCCGCCACGTCGCGAAAGCCGGTCGGCCTCGTTTGATGTCCGTTGCGCGTTTCCACCGTGTATGTGGTTGTACAACAGCTCCGAGAAGTAATACGTCGTCGGTCGTTCGCGGTGGATATATTTCGGTCGTTCGCGGTAACACAGTGTATTTGATGATCGCATTGTCGTAGGCAGTGCGTCGTCGTACACTCGGTGCGCGCAACAAAGCGCGATGATATTATCATATGCGCCATTCGAACGCAACAAAAAAAAAAAACGTTACGAACCGTCGTCAAACTCTACCGACCGCGTAACAATAATAACGTTTGTTTTCAGTGATATCGGTTGGGAAACATTGGACTTGGAAAACCACCACGCGCTGCGTATTGAGAAACTTCGTCGTCAGGTCGTCGGTACCTATAATGCGTTTTACGTATAATATATAGGGGTACGACTACCATTTATCGATCTCTGTGACAGGGTGGTGGGTGGCGTCGGTGGTGTGTGGTGGTGGTCAACGACCTCGATGCGAACCGTAACGATTCACGGTCATCGGAAAACTCAGCAGAGAATACAGCGGCGGTTAACCTGTTGATGGTGAGCTAGTGCCCGCGCGGCAACAGGTCGCACACGTTACGCGTTCGATATGTACACACACGTGCCCCTTCCGCCCGCCCGAAGAAAACTACCCTCGCCGACACCAACCCTTTACGCGCGCTCGTCGTATTTTATCGATTCCTCGCGGCCGCGCCGGCCCAGAGCGCACGTGACGGGCCCAAAGTCAAGGTCGTCTCACCCCCACCCCCTGCACAGCGTTCACGTGGCGTAAGTTCACTCTGCCCGTTTGATGTCGGGACATTTTCCCCGCCGTATTCCGGGCGCGCTACCGTTCCGGCGCCCCAAAAACGTGCGGAGCGCCCGACGAGAGAGCAACGGGCTAGTCGTCGTACGTACACCTCCGTGGTGGCCGCGGTCCGCGGACAATGCGTAATCCATCGCGATTCGATCATATGTGCGGTGTATTCGCATAAACGCGTGTATTTTTCAATTTTTTTCTATTATCGATTTCCTTCTCGTCGATCCGCCGCCGCCGTCCGCACATCCTTGTCCCGTGTTCGGAACGACTTTTTCACCGTCTCGCGTGGACGGGGTAAGTGTGCACATGTTTTCGCCGCCGTACGCGTCGTGATCGCCGTTCGTGTCGCGTCCTCCCGGAGAAACGAGTTTATCGTCACACGCTGCTCGTTTTACGGGCATTTTTTCTTCTCCTTCTTCTCCTCCTCCCGTTGCCGTCATGCGAGCATATTTTGTTTCTCGTCAAAAGCTGCTTTTGACTTCGGAAACGTCGTGAGCGACGATCGACCGGTAGATAAGGATCCATAATTCTCTCCCGTACAGCATAATAATGTACACGCTCCGCAGCCGCCGCGAAGATGATATTGTGATATCGCGTCAGCCGTAAATCGTATCTCGATATCATCGCGGGTCGCCCCGAGAGAGCCTGCCGCGCAGTGAAAGTCGCCGCCACCGCCAACAACACGTCGCGTACTATTATTACCATCATCGTCGCGCCCTTGTTGCTTGCGAAAAGTTCGTAGCACATATATGTGCCGCGTTCGAACAGAACGTTCGCGAACCGTGGCCGGTTAGAATTAAATATATTTATTATGAAATATGCCGTTATAAAGGGACCCTCTCTCGCCAGATATCACACACACTGTACGGCCGTGTATTTTCCCCTTTAAACGAGGAAAAATTATTCAGGTCGAACGCTTATGCGTGGGCTAAAACGTGTTATTTATTTTGAGTACATATAAAACGTTCTTTCAGGTAAACCGTAATGAAAAATATTCATCGCGCGCATCACACGGATGACATGCGACATTATTATACTTTGATACCTTTGTTGATTTTCCCCGTGCATGTAAGAAAAGTAATAAAAATAACCATAAATGCTCCCCGTGAAATAATAGGCCGTCGATCGGTACGACGCGTGAAGATATTTTAAACGACCTTTCGATTTGCCGACAAACTCCGTATGTATGGAAATATTTGAAATTCACACGCAAACGTCCCGTTGTCATAAACACACTCGGAAAGCGGTAAATGTGGTTTTAATCGACGATCCATCGTAATAATTACGTATATTTTTCGTTTTTAATTCATGAACATAATCGTGTTCGCCGTCATCTTTGTCGCCAACGACAAAATGATTCTGACTGGTCGATGTGATGTTGTCGTTGTTGGGAAACTATTTTCGGTTATTGATCGTTTTATTATCGGGTCGTTCAAAGCGACTGAATAATAAAAATAAAATAAAATCGAGAATTAAACGTCAACAGTACCTAATAAATTAAAAATTAAAAAAAAAAAATAAAACAGAGTCGTCTCCCGTAATCCCTCGACAACGAAACCGGTTGAATGTCGTTAACTTGGCTTGCACAGTTCACTACTCTACATGGACTACTATTACTACTACTAACTGCTGCTGGTAGTACAAACTGTACAAACTACTGCCGGACTTGTACCTACGTGTATACTCGAACGGAGTTTCCGAAAAATTCTTAAAAAATAATGTTGATTTTGTTGTTCGCGATTTTTCGCAGTGTATGTAAACATATTATCTTAATAAATTTAATTTATGACCCTAAGATTTATATCTTCAGAGAGTTCTCTACTTATAAATTATTATTTTTTCTTTGGTCGTCCATTAAGTCATCAAAACCTATATAACATCAGTCTTTTTCAAGCTTACCATAAGGATAGTTAAAAAGTTAATTGTCAACAGATGATTACACGGTTTAAACTGACTTAAAAACCATGGTAAATCCCTTGTTTGTATGCAATTATGTATGCACGTAACAAGTAAAAAAATATTTTTTTTTATTTTACGCCGAGTACGCAAAAAAAAAAAAAAAAAACTGGTACTTTTCTAAGACCTTCGCAGGTATCACCCTGCGCGGTGGTTCCTGGGCCCGGGGCCCAATCGGGATCAATTTCTAAATAATCCGACCTCGCCTATGAATTTCATGATATTACTTCGATCTGCAGACCCGATAAGCACGTAGCCGGCGCGTACCCATATTACATACATGCGCGTCGTATACAACAACGATGATTATTATAACGATCTCGGGCTCATTTTCGATATTCATCTTTCATCGAAACCATTATAATACCTAGCAGTAGTGGTTGTGGTAATAATAATGATAATGATAACGTTACACGTGCGTCGGCGGGTCGGATAACTGGGGATAACGCGCGTGGTGACCCGAGACGACTAGGAAAGCCGGCAAGATCGCGGCACCGCACCAACGACCTGACGATAATCGGACGCTCGCGCGCGCCCGTAAAAAACGATCGCCACAGGTGTAAATCCGTCGACGGCACCTGTCCGAGGACTCTCTCCTCTCGTTTTTTATCTGCTCGCGGTGCCATCGTCGCGTCCCGCGAGCGTACGATGTGGCGAAACTACGACGCCACCGCACGACCTCAGCGCCACTGGCTTTGCGTCCTCGTCCCCGACCCCCGCTGCTGTCGAGTTGGGCAATCCTGCATACGGATACAAGCCGGTCGTTAACGATTTTTTCCCGTTTCTTTTTACTCCGCGACGATAGTGTACTCCGCGTTACGCAACGCGAGCGTATAGCGAACGAACGCGGAATATCACGGTCTCTCGTCGTAGCAATGATAATCGAATGATTGCTCGCCGACGAACCGCGATTTTTGTACGATTTCAACGTGTAGATTATTCTCCGTTTTAAGTATCGTATCGACCGTTATAGGCTACATCGTTCGACGATAATAAATACATTAGTCCATAGCAATAGAGCAATAGTAATAATAATATCTTGCCTCGTCCTTGTCCGTAGCACTAATTATTAACGACTTGTCCTCAAACTCCACCGTTGCTCGGTTCGCAGTTTCATCGGACTCGCGACGATAACGGGTTATTTCGTTTCCACTCTCTCTCACACTACTCTCTCGTCGACACTAAATCGCCGCGGATCAGTCACATATTATGTGTACATATTTACACACATTTTATACGCGCACACTCCACTGCGTACTGTTCAGCGCAACCGTTTCTCAACCGCACGACCCTATTATTCCGACTACTGTTTTCGATACGGACTCGCGCGTTAAAACATCGTAATTTGTTGTCCATGGCTGTTAAACGTGAAAGTCGACCGTCGTCCCCGCTCAGATTTTAACGTTTACTCCGGCCTAGACGAGCCCGTTAACTCCGCCTTCCGAGGAAACCAAACCAAAAAAGTCATTTCTCAACATCGTTACATTTTTTCTAATACGCTTTAGCTGTACGCTTGTTTAGTTCTCGCAGCGAAATTTCAGTTCACCCTCTTTTAATTAATTGCCCGACACTAGTACGCCGTACGAGTGACCCGATTAAAACATTTTTCGCGACCTCGAACGTTGTAACATGACTTATTGGTAAAAAAAATAAAACGCTAAGCACGTCGATATCGTAGAACGATATAATAATTATAATATTTACCATACCGATTTGGCCCAGTTTCTACGCGCCAAAACGATGCTCTTACTTTATTCTTATAGACCGTACGGCAATATGATTATTATTATTATTCTCCCCCGTCAAACCGTATTCATCGTGATGACGGTCGGGCGATCGTTCACTACGGGGGACGTAAAAGCTATTTTTTTTTTGTGGATTATTATTTAATTTTTTTCTCATATATTTAATTATTTCGGACAGTGTTTTTGACGGTGTTTTTAAATTTTTTTTTCTAGTTTCAAATCACCCGCGTGCGTGCACGAGAGTTATTTCGCGGTGAATGAACGGCTGTTCGATTAGCTGCACGAATGACTATGGCTGAGGTGGAAATGGAGCCGCCGACAGACAGGGCGAGCCGGTCGACGATCTACAAGACCAACAACAATCATCCGCTGGCCACGAACAACAATAACAACAACCACCACATCACCAGCACTCGTCCGGTGGTGGTGAAGCAAAAGAAGCGAAAACGTTTGAACCAAGTGCTGGACAGGTTGGCGGGCCAAGCGACTTCGCCCAACAACATAAACAATAACAACAACGGTAGCATATTGAACCACAACAATAACAATAACAACAACGATGTTGACGCGGATTGCAAGGACAACGGCGTAATGTTGATCAAAGACGAAATGGTGGTGATGAAGGATGAAGTGATGACGGAGGTGGACGGGTGCAAGAAGAACGGCGTTGGCGGCTACGACAGCGACGAATCGCTGAGGAGGTCGTCCAAGGATTTCGAGGAACCGTTCAGTCCTGCCGGTTCGTCGTCGTACAACCGGTCGCCTCGCAGCTCACAAACGGACTCGCCGTTCAGCCCCAACCGGTCGCGACCGGACGATCTGTCCGTGGTGCCGCCGCTGCCGCCGCCGTCCCTGCTGCCGCCGATGATAGTTCCGTCCGCGGCGCAGCTGCAGAAGTGTTTCCCCGTCAACGGCTCGTCCTTGCCGCCGCACCCGTTGCACCACTATCCCAAGTACCCGAAGTGCAACTGCCTGTTCTGCGGTGGTGACGGCACCTCGCCACCCCGACACCCGTTGCCCACCATGCCGCTGCCCACTGCACAGCAGCCTCCCGTCACCCCCATGTCCCCAGCCTCGCTGTTGGCCGGTTCCATGTACACGTTCGAACACTACCTGCACAGCAAGTACCTACCCGACATATTCCGGAAGCGACGGAGCCATTCCGATTCCGATGTTCCTATGTGGTTCGAAGCGACCAAGGCCGAGCACTGCGGTGGCGACGACCACTGCAACAGTTCGTCCGCAAACGCCGTCTCCTCGACGGCCGTGGTCACCACCGCCGCCCC